TAATAATAACTAGACATGTAAATTGAACAAGTTCAATTTAAGACTCCAGATTTTAAAGCTGAGTCATCCAGAAAACTTGTAAGCTGAGTCATCCAGAATAAGCTGAGTCATCTAGAATATAGACATTTAGACGACTCTTAAGAATGTTATCTTCGACTCCATTGGCTTAACATGGAGATATCATCAGATCGACTTTTCGAGACTTCAAACCGATATAACTATCTAACCAGAAGTTGGATTGAAATTTGGTTTAAAGATTCGGATTCCTGATGAAATTCTACCCTTAATTCATTACTCATACTTTAAATTTTGAGAACTTTTTATTTTGACCTACTTTTCGGACACCATATCTCAAAAATGGGTCAAAATACTTTCTGACGGCAAAAGGCTAACACTATTAACTCACTCTTTGCTACCTGTATACAAAATTTTGAAGCAAATAATTAGAGTGTAGCGTCAGAATCTAAAAAATAAGTTAAAACTATAAATTTGACCTAGATTTTGACATAGGCATTTTGGTGTCCAAATTTTGATGCTAGATAGCTTTTGAGGTCCGTTTCTTTTATAGGCTTTCATTATTTGAAGCTGTACTTAGTCTATATCTCGTAATTTACACTTCAAAAAAAAATCTTTTTTCCCATTGCCATAACGTGGGGCACCAATTTTAGCGATTTTTGAGCTTTCAAAATGCCATAACTTTCGAACCGGAAGTCGGATCGAAATTTAGTTTGCAGATTCGGATTCCTGAAAAAATTCTACCCCTAATTCATAACTCATACGTTAAATTTGGATTTTTTTTATTTTGACCTACTTTTTGGACACGCCATAACTTCCGAACCAGTAGTCAGATCGAAATTTGGTTTGCAGATTCGGATTCCTGAGAAAATTCTTATCTTAATTCATAACTCATACGTTGAATTTGGAGAATTTTTTATTTTGACCTACTTTTCGGACACCATATCTCAAAAGTGGGTCAAAATACTTTCTGACGGCAAAAGGCTCACACTATTAGCACACTCTTTGCTACCTGTATACAAAATTTTGAAGCAAATCATTAAAATGTAGTGTCAGAATCACAAAAATAAGGAAAAACTATGAATTTGACCTAGATTTTGACCTAGGCATTTTGCTGTCCAGATTTTGAAGCTAGTTGGCTTTTTAGGTCCCCTTCTTTTAAGGGCTATCATTATATTAAGCTGTACTCAGTCTATATCTCGTATATTACACTTCAAAAAAATCTTTTTTCCCATTGACTTAACATGGGGCACAAATTTAGCTATTTTTGAGCTTTCAAAACACCATAACTTCCGAACCGGAAGTCTGATTGAAATTTGGTTTGCAGATTCAGATTCCTGAGAAAATTCTACACTTATTTTATAATTCATATGTTGAATTTGGAGAACTTGCTGTTCTGACCTACTTTTCGGACGCCATATCTCAAAATCGGTAAGAGTAATCAAAAAACGATTTGCCTTTCGGAATTAGCGTTTTTTCAAAGGAACATGATGAAAAAAACCAGGAGCGAAAATACTGAATGACGACTGAGAAAACTGGCAAAAAAGTGAAAACACAATATTGTGACCTAGTTCTTGACCTTTGACCTAGATAAAAAGTTGACCTAGTTTCCCAGAAAGCCGGATACAGTCCTTAGTTAACCATGTTAGTTGGATTAAGTAAGCTGTTATAGTTGACAAGAACTTTGGCGAGGAGGAAGAAAAAAGAATAATAATAATAATAATAAAGAAAACAGGCAAAAACAATAGACTCCAGATTTTCAATCTGGAGTCTAATAATAATAATCTGGTATTAATCAAGTTAATACCGTAGAGCAACATGACAAAATATTTAACCATGAGTCATACGATCAAAACCTTTGTTATAAGCTTTGCAAAACGGTAGAGAGCATAATCGATTTAACGTCACTCCAATTTCTGCTCCCTGTTCATTTCAGGGAGTCAGTTTTACTGTATAGTATGACACGTTCAAAATTAGCTCTCACGCTACTATCAAAAACGGGTCCTTACAGTTCATACGACAAGGTAAAACGATGGCTATGTAATCTTAGCACTAACATAACAATCGACCCTGGGTTCCAGATAGTGAATGATGATGTTGTTTCAGCGTTTGATAACAATCAAATATTAAAGAAAACGTGGAACGTAAGTAAAAACAAGAAGTTAGAATGTAGTGTTGTAACAATGATATGCACGTTTACTATAGGAAACTCTGGCGCGCAAAAGAATCCAAATATAGCACCAGGGACGTGGAAGCACAGAACACTGTCAAACCAACAAGTTGAGTGAATTAAAAGAGCTGATATTTACAAACAACATCACGATGAAAAGCTCGATACATTTTTGGAAGAAAGAATGCATAAAGTGTATTCTGAGCAAGTGGAAAATGGAACCACTTATCAGGATGAAATAGATACAAACGTTATTACTGTACAGTACAACAACACGTTTAAAGATTGTCAAGAGTGTGGCAAGATGGGGATACCGAAACAAAAAACGGTTGTGCCCAAACTGTAGAACAAAACTCGGTGTTTCAGAAACACCTGATGTTCCACACGAGCCAAATCAATCAAATGTTCCTAACAATTTTAAATCGGAGAAAACACCTACTCGGGCAGGGGAAGTCCGATACAAAGTACACAAAACATGTACTGGAAAAACGTTAATAAAAAAAGCCTCAATTGAATCATGTGATAAAGAGGTGAACGCAGAACCTGGAGTTCCAACGCATGTGTTCTGGCCAACTTTTGAAAACCCCTGTTCATATAAGGCATGCGAAAAGGTATTGTTGGACATCGGTGAAAAACTGAACATAGCTAAATATGGTGGGAGTAGGGAATGGGTTGTTGTTGTGTGTGACGGTTTACCGTACTCGTTATGTCAACGAATAATAAATTGCACATATAGGTGTCTACAATGTGGTCAACTTGTAAGGTGAACTGGTGATGCCGTCAAGCACTCTACCAAGTGCTCATTAAACAGCCCGTCAAATGAACATCCAATTGAGGGTTTTGTTTACGAGTTCGACTGGATCTTGATGATTCCTGGCCCAGGGCATATCGAAATGAATATGGTAAGAGCATACGTTGCCTTTATGTGGGAGGTTTTTTATAAAGAAATGGTTAAACTATTCAACTTTAAATCTGAAGTTGCTCAAGCATACGCTAAGAAAGTATCGGACTATCACAAAGGATTTCAACTGATCACAATTGCTAGGAACGCACTTGTGGATGAACTCGTACTCCCCTATGTGCGACAGGTATTGCAGAATAAGGGAACCATTTCAATGTTGAACTTTGCAGACTTTAGAAATTTTGTGAATGAATGTACAAGTGTCAATTATAGATTCATCGCTGACTCAACATTTAATCTTCTGGTCCCAATATTTACGTACAGGGAGGGAGTAAGGTCACAAAAGCCGGAGATGATGATCGCTGCCAGGACGATTTTTAGTAAAGTTTGGTGTGCGAGGAGACATCCCATTTACAGGGAACTAGATGCAAGAGACATTATACTGTATGAAAAGATGCCCCCGCAAGTACGTGAAATAGTGCATAAAGCAATGTGCATCAATACTTCGGGAATTCCGAAGAGCGCAGAAGGGGCAGATTTCAAGCTGGAAACAATCAATAAAAAGGGGCAATTTTGGATGCCCCCACGACCCACTCTAAACGACTGGGACAAAATGTGCGCAAATTTTGACAGTTTGGAAAACATAAGATCAACAGTTTTAAAAACTGTGGTCAAAACGACCCACGATTAATTAGTGCTAATAAGCGTAGTCCGAAAACATTTGATGAAGAAGAAAGGGAATTTCGACTTTTAATACGAAGTACATCGTATCTGTTGCAGCCCTATGAAGAAGACGATGAACATACAGGTATAGATGGAAAAGCGTTAGATAAAAACTTGAGAAGTTTTCTGAACGACGCAGCAAATATTAGATCTGAATATATCAAAGCCGCAATTGAGCACTCTGATGAAGAGTCTAAACCAATTTCAAGTGCAGAGTGCAGGATAATATTTGTCACACCCGAAGAGAGATCTAGTTTTATGGCGACTGAGAACAAAACAAAAGTTGTTCTTATTAAGGAAATTGAAAATATGCTGAATTCTTTGGATGACGACGAAATAGCTTCTTTGGAATTGAGAGTAATTTGGCAAAATAAAAGAAAACAACAGTCAAAAAAGGAGCTTATATCGTTTTATAAGGAAGTAGAGGAATGTTTAAAAAGCCAGTTAGAAAACCTGTTACCAGTAGCAGACGACGAGAGCGATGATGAAAATTAAGATTATTAGATCGCTTACGTTGATAAATTGACAACAAAAAATATAAACAGTTAATAAGACTAGTGGTTTAAAGGTGAAATTGACGGAATACACATATACTGCACACCTTCACCAGTTCAAGCCTGGTTGTAGGCTATGCTGCACGCATGCAGCAATCTGTCGATCAAGTCAATGTCTGTTTAGCAATTAGACAGCAATACATTCTTTCAGTGAGAAATAATATAAATATCACGTATTAACAAATAGAGAATATACGATTATCATATTTCAACAAATAGAGAATATAAATATAATGACATATATATAATAATGAATAAGGAATAAAAATATAACATCTTATAAAATTTCATTGTATTATTCATGTAAAACAATTACAAGGATAAATAAAGTTTAAAAGTTATGAATACATTAATTGACATTCCTCTGTTATAAACAACTGTCAAATAAACAACAATAATCACTGGTATAATAACATTAACATATTATATTTTAAATAAAAAAATAACAAGTGTAATAGACGTAACAACAAAGACAGGAATTAAAATCAAAACAAGGTCTGGCTACAATCATGACTATTCCTGCTATTGAAAAGAATGTGTGCTTCAAGTTCAAATATCGGGAAATTTTTACAGTTCAGTCAAATTCAAAGATTGGAAAATATTCCTGTCAGATGACCTATCAATTGTAGCAGACAGCTCTAAAGGTGGTGGCAATTGAACACTGGTACTAAGGCCAATTGTGGCCAACAAGTTCTCATCTTGTACAGGAATCTGCTGCTGAAGCGGCACAACAGGTGAAACAAACGGCGTGGATTCTGCGGACGTGGGACTGGTAGCTGTTTTGTTTCTTGCCTGTAAAACAATAGCTTACTAGGTTTAACTAGCAATAACTAAGCTTAGATAATAGGTCTGCTCCAAAACTAAAGTCTGAACGTCAATAACAATGTGTTCAGGTTTATGTGTACTCATGTGAATTTCCCATGATTTCAAACAAAAGTTTCGACATAATAATGTCCTGGTTTTGATGTGCAGATGTGAGTACTTGCTTAGTTTCAGGCTAATTTGTGGCGTGTACAGGTGTACATTAACGTTTGTCTATTAAACTATTGATTTTATTAAGGTACATCAAACGTACTCTTCAACTCAACGTACTCTTTAAGTTAGAACATTATTAAATCATAAACCTTTAAATATTGGTACCTGTTCCTGGATAATAGACAGTTTGGTCTTCTTGGTTATCATGTGGGAGGTTTCACCAAGGGAATTATAACGTACGTCATTTCCGTCATCATCAGGATGAATACCATCTTGTAAGTATTTATCATAGGTCTCATCGTCACTTACATCCACAGACGCATACCCACTTTCATCTACATATCGCAAGAAAACGTTTCCTCCTGTTCTGCTGCATAACTGTGATGCTTTCTTGATAATACCCTTTAACCGATCTTTTTTTGTTTGATTTCTCTTCTGGGTGTTTTCCTCATATTTCGTAGAAAATGGACCCACATGATGTTGCCATTTCTGGTTTCTAAATGAAAAATATCAACATCAACAAGGTGCAAGGGGAAGCCCCATTTGAGTAAATCGATGTTCACATTTGATATTAACACTCCAATACCACAAGGGACATATCATTCATGCTGAAGACCGCAATACATTTTAAAGAATACGTTTGTGGAGGTTATCACAACCTGTAGGTCATGGTGACTTGTGAACGAGCTGACAGAGCTCTGTGTAGTGAGATTTTACAGGCATACACGTCGCTTTGCAAGGTCAATAAGTCATTGGTCATTCCATCAGTTTATTGATTATTTGGATCTGGATAAAAGTATAAGGCCTAGCTGTATTCATTCTAATAATTCATTATAATATGTAGGTTGGTATAGCATTAACCATTGGGACTAGATCATATTCGTATTCTGACATGCTCATATAGAATTCAGGAAAATACGGTGAGATAAGATTATATAATCCATTAACTTGCTTCCAACATCTATTTTCCGAAAACGAATTTGAATACTAAACATTGAAACTATAAACAAATGTTTGCCCCAGTACTCTTCATAGATACACGGCGATGCATTTCTTTAGGATTTGATGAAGAACTTACGCTTGGGGCCCTGTAGCAGGTCTCTTTCCTTCCTCAGACATACTACTGTCTGTCTGTGGGCGATATTTAAAAAGGGAGTATTTGAATGAAATTGTAGCATCATACGGCAATTGCCGTATGACGCTTTAACGAACATCACGTACACGACATGCGCATTAAGAATTGAAACAGGATGATACGGCAATTGCCATATGGTGCTTAGAATGAAATACCATGCAGCAATCGACCCCATCTTCTTCACTGTTTGCATGAAACCCCATTTTTCTTCTCTTTAAAGCATATAGTGTATGATCTGCTGAAACTCACGCTATAGGCTGATCCATTCATTTCTGTGTTAAAATATTTATTTCATGTTATTTAAGAGGAAACGTCAACTTTATCATGGTCAAATGGAAGCCCAAGACCCTACCTAAATATAAAAAATTTAAGTGAGTAAAGATCTTCTATTGTTTTTGATATTTAAAGCTTTTTTAATAAAACAGCACATATTATATCGAATTTATATCTTTACATCGTAAAATCAATCACATATGCGAAAAATGGTCAAAGTAATATATATTTTTCAAAGCATATGGGTGTTCTTGTGCCTACAAAACCTTATTGAATCACCAGTAGCATGTAATATAAACACAAATAAATCTTTTAAAAATAACCGTTACAAGATATTTTTTTTGCGCATCTTGTCGAGTCTTTGATCACCCACTTTTTATAGTAGGCGATCACTGTACATACAGTGTATTTATCCAGGGACCTTTTTCTAAGCACTTATTTCGAAGCACTTATATAATTTTTCTTTGATTATACTGGTTAGTGACATTACATAGTTCTGAATAGTTCTGATATGTATCAATGATATTATACCAAAGAGAACACAATGGCAACAAGAATACAATATTGAACAAAACAAAACATTGATAGGAAATACAATAATGCACACTGTTTCAAATGGTTATATTTTAGCAATTTATCACAATTAATGATATCCTGGAACTGCTCCGCATACCCCTCACTACCGTAACCGTGACAATCGTAACTTTAACACGTTTATACTATATGTTATAAAAGTTGGTAGACATATTGTCATAAAATTCCTCTACAATCTGTAGCAATTTCATTACAAAAGAACTAAATCTCTTAAAATTAGAGTATTTGTATCTTTACTTTCCGGACACCCTGTTATGTGGATTTTTATCTTACCAATCATGACTTAAATATTAATACGGGTATTTCCTATAATTAATATTATACTGGATTAAAATTACCAAATATGACTTTAGTATTAACATGGGTTAAAACCTATAATAAATTAAATACCGGATGTGACAAATAAATAAAATCAATTATAATCTACCTACTTGATGTAGATATCTAAATGTTGGTCTGAATTTATCTTTGTGGAAAGATTGTATCCTTCAGTTGCTCTTTAACAAAACATGTGGGACAGTGTATCTATATATTACAAGATGTCCATCAGTCAGTCAGTCCGTCAGTCTGTCTGTCAGTCTGTCCGGAAGAATTCTCCAATACTAGTTGACAGATTTACTTCATATTTATCTGTTTATAGGAAAAATGTATATTGCTGAATACGCAATAAAAAAATTTCAAGATGGCTGCCACTTTTAAAATGGCTGGAATTTTTCGCAAAAATCTTATGTTTTTCATTGTAAACCAAAGTAATAAATATAATTAGAGAGATTTCGCACCTAGTGAAAGTACAACTTATAACGTATACTTATACTTATAGGTAAACGTACAAGGTGTTTCATAATGTGAGCTTTTCGTCAGGAAAGATCTTCTCGGACTGTAATAAATACAGGTCAAAGGGATGCCATTTTTACTTTCTTGAATTGTAGCATGTTTAGTTGATCCAAATGTGTTTGTCTAGAATAAAATAGGCTCATATATAGTACATATGCTATAGACCCATCTCTTCTCAAATTGACTTTTTGGAGATGCTCATTATGAAACACCCTGTATGTCATATGTTGAGCTACTGAATGGGTCGTTTCCAGGAATTGCTAGAACCTATTGGTTTGATTGGTGTTTCAATTTGATGGTTAAAGTATTTGATTGGATACTGTTCCCACTCAGCCAATTAATTTCAAAAAATGCTTGCAGTCAATTGTTCCACACACATGTAGGCAAATCTTTATACAGAGATCCAACTGTATACGTTATCATCTACGTAAATATACCGTTTTGTAAGTTCATTGAACTTATACTGATCAAGAAACATTGAAATAATCAACTTGTTTATGTAATGACTCACTTTAAAGAATCATGACTCCCTTTAAAGATATGCTAGGCAGATAAGTAGGTCAGTATTACATAATCATGAAATGAATAAGTCTGAAAATACAATTGGTCAGAATGTACTTAAACCTGCTTGAAACTGAAAAACATTGCATGCTCTATTCCACACAATTTGGAGGCTTTTGAAATTCGCAGTAACAATGAATAAGTGCCTGTATATAATCATTGCATAGAAAACACTTCATGTAGTGTTTATCAGATATACTAGAGAGGTTAAGCTACACGTATTTAACAAAACTTGAACGTGAACTTCAATGCGCGATCAGATAAATGACGTCAGATTTGTTTATTTCCTGTGGGCCAGCGTGAAGTTTACAAGTCTTTACATGAGATTATCATATTCGTGCAATTTACAGACGCGTATTCAACAAAGCATGAACATGTACTTCTATGCGCGCGCAGGAAAATGACGTCAGATTAGTCTACTTTCTACAGGTAAGCGTGAAAATTACAGGTTTTTATGTTTAGATAAGGGATTACACGTCGCTCATTACGTGATTGATTTTAGCTATGTTCTAGGATGGCCTGGGAGCCCATATTTGATACAAACAATCTTACTTGTTATAAGTGTAAGCCCCAATCCTTAATTGGAAATAAGAATACATTTTAATGAGTAAATGACAACTTCAAACGTAATCGTTTGTTCACTCCGTACAATATAAATAAGCAGTGCCAATTTGATACCCGGGGCTTGGTACAATATGGCTACTAAACGAAATAAAATGAATACCAGGGCCTACGATTGCCTTATCACTACATTTGATTTGCCTGAATCTGAATGACCTGAATTGATTGCAAATTAAACAATTTCACAATTAATATGACACAAATGGTATATCACATCAGATGTGCAAATATAAAGTTTGCAATTGATTCAGGTCATACTTCAAATTAAAAGATTATACATTTTTTCATCATTTTTTCCTACAAAATGGCTATAGAAAAATGCTTCAAAAGCAACTTTTACACTTATGAAATACCATACAACTTTGTAAATCCAAAGATTATACTGTTATGTTTCATTAATTAATAACATATTTGGATAAGATGTAGGGATGTGTATGATGCAAATGGATTTTGACGGACACACAAAGACTTCCTGGTATGGCATCTCCCTGTACACTTTATGATTGAATAGTGTATATATAAGTGTAATGATAAAAGCAGTATATTTATTTTGAAAAATCAGATGAATTTATTTTGTTCATGGGGAGATCATAATGGAGGGCGCACTAGATCATTTAATTATCCCATCGAACGAAGTTCGGAGGGATATAGGGAACGCCTCCGTCCGTCCGTCCGTCCATCCGTCCGTCCGGGCAATAACTCAAATACCGTTGGCCCGATTTTGTTCATATTTTGTACACATATACCCTATGGGGGTAGAAGTTCTGCTCGATAGCCGATTTTCAAAATGGCCGCTCATTTCAAAATGGCGGCCATTTTAGTGCCGATTGTACAGTAATTTAGGTGCAATATGTAAAACTGTAATAGCAATATGTTTTAAATGTAAAAAAATTATAAAGGACATTAATTTTGTTCATATTTGGTATGTGAATACTATAAGCATTGCACACTTTTGGTAGAAGGCGGCCATTTTGAAAAATGGCCGCCATTTTAACGTATTTTACTATAACTCGAAAAGTAGTAGAGCGATTTTGTTCATATTTGGTATGTGAATACTATAAGCATGGCACACTGTCCTATGACATTTTTGGTAGAAGGCGGCCATTTTGAAAAAAAAATTGAAAAATGGCCCCCATTTCAACGTATTTTACTATAACTCGAAAAGTAGTGGAGCGATTTTGTTCATATTTGGTATGTGAATACTATAAGCATGGCACACTGTCCTATGACACTTTTGGTAGAAGGTGGCCATTTTAAAAAAAAATTGTAAAATGGTCCCCATTTTAACGTATTTTACTATAACTCGAAAAGAAGGGGAGCGATATTGTTTATATTTGGTA